ACAGCAGCTGGGGGTGGAGGGTAAATATTGTCCTGGCTGCATCCCCAGCCCCACGTCCCTTGTTTACCCCGGATCAAAGCGAAGCTCCGGCTCCGGAGTCTGTATCAGGGCAGAGCAGGCTGGTCTCCAGCACAGAGCGTGGGAGAGAGGGAGGAAGAAGGACCCAGAGGGGGGTGACGAGTGTGTGTCCCCTTGTGCCTGCCCGTCTGCCTGCACCCCAGGAATGGGGGCCCCAGTAACCCCGGCCTGCCTGCTGCTCCTCCTGCACCTCACAGCTGGGACGTCTGCAGAGCCGTAAGCCCTGTCCGTGTCTGTCTGTCTGTCCACGTGGTGGGCAGTGCGGGGGGGTTGGAAGCAGCCGAGGGCACCGATGAGGGGGCTGCTTGATCCGAAACTGATGGGACAGGTCCGTTCTCCCCTGGGAGCTCAGTTCCTGACGCTGGGTCCTTCCTGGGCCCCCCTGGTCCTGCCCCTCCCAGCGACAGGGGAGGTTGGCTCTGGTTAAGGCAGTGGCTTGGGGTGTAGGAGAGCTGGGTTCAGTGCCCGGCTCTGCTACAGACGCCCTGTGCGCCCCCGGGCAGACACCGACCCTCTGAGCCTCAGCTCCCCTCTGTACCATGGGGTGATGATCCTCTGTGGCCGCCTGCTCCCGTCAGCCTGTCACCTCCTCGGGCCACGGCCTGTCTCTGCCTGCGGGTCAGTCCAGCCCCAGTGCAGGGGGCCCAGCTGGGCCGGGCCTCTAGGCACCAGTGAAATAGAGCAGTAATTACCGACAAACACAGTGCATTAAACGAACGTCTCAGTGAGAATCTGGGAGTGCCCCGAAGGTACAAACACCGAAGGGTTCCTGCGAGAACGGGCGGAGGCCCCAGGGTGCAGACTGAGCTGGGGGTGGGGTGGGGTTGTATCTAAGCCGGTTACTGGCTGCAAAGGGCTCAGGTGCTCAGTACAGCCCCAGACTGACCAGCCTCCCCCAGCCATGCACAGGGGTCTCTGCTCACTCTCAGCGCCACTAGTTGCCCCCTTCTGGGCAGACTGAGCAGCCAAGAGGCCAGGGACAGAGGGGGACTGAGCCCCTCTCTGCATCCCCGAGGCCCCTCCAGCTCCGCGGGAGGCAGGCTGGGGCGGGGGATGGAGCGGGGGAGCCTTGCCCTGTGGTTAGAGAAACGAATCAGCCTCCAGCACCGTCGACCCAGCTCTGGCCCCAGAAGGAGGGACACTCAGAAAGCGGGAGTCACTCCGGTCCTGGGGGAGGCTCTGGGCTTTCCCCTCCCCCTCTCCCACTGCCCCCGGTGCTTTCCCCTCCCCAGGCACTATGTGGTGGTGAGCCCAGCCGAGCTCTACCACCCGCACTCGGGGACGGTGTCAGTTCATCTCAGCGACCTCAATGAGACCGTCTGGGTGAGCGTCCGGCTGGAGAGGGAGGATGGGCCCAGCGCTATCACCCTGCTGGAGAGAGAGGTCTGGGAGCCCCATCTGCACGAGAACGTGCGCTTCCAGGTGAGCCCCCGCTTGCAACCATCAGCATGGCCCCGGGCACTGGCCATGGGCATGGAGCTGGTCACTCAATGGGCAGCTGTAGCCACAGAACTCAAGCCCATCCCGCAGCAGCGACAGGCAGGAGGGAGCGGGGATGGGGTGTGGGGCACAGAGAGCACCTGGCTTTCAACTCCATCGAGCGCCCCAGGTTCATGCTCCCTCCCATTCACAGTCCCGCGGGCTGCGGAGGAGGGTTTCCTGTATTTTGTGGGGGCTGGAGCAGGGACTCACAAACACCACTGCCCGCCCCCCCCACGCGATAGTGGGTCTGCGCCACGACTGGCCTGTTACCGGCTGCTGTGGCCTTGCTGGGGGTCCCCATGTGCAGGTTCCAGCCCCGTCCGGGGGGCAGCAGGAAGTTGCAGAGCTGCACGTCTCGATCCGGGGAGATGCCCTGCAGTTCTCTGAGCGGAAGAAAGTGCTGCTGCGGGCGCTGCAGCCCAGGACCTTTGTGCAGACGGACAAGGCCGTCTACAAGCCGGGACAAACAGGTGAGAGGGCAGGAGCTGCTGGAGGGAGTTTCCTGGGGCCCCAGGCCCTTGGGACGGACTCCCAGGCTCTGGGGATGGGATGGGGGCCTAGCGAGGGATTCAGGACTCTCATTTCTAGGCTCCTGTCTGCACCCGGCCCCAGGGGAGAAGAGGCCCAAAGTCTGAGGGCTGTTTGGGGGCCTGTCTGGAACCAAGTGGGGGTCTCAGCCCATCCTTGGTGATGTCACAGACACTGCAGGGGGCACCGATCAGCCTCCCCTGGCAGCCTCCAGCCACTCAGGGCAGAGCCGTGGCTCATTGGCAGAGGGCAGCATGGGGAAGCTGGCGCTGCGTTGCACGGGCTGGGCCCATTCTGTGGGTTCACAGAGGCCATCAGTGCCCAGGGCGTCCGGCTGGCACCTTCCCCAGCTGGGAATTCACTCAGAAAAACCAAGCCGGGGCTGATTCCCACCTCTCCCTCTGCTCCTTTCTAGTGAAGTTTCGAATCGTCAGTTTGGACAAAGACTTCATTCCCAGTACCCGGAAGGTGAGAGCTGAGGGTGGGGATTGGAAGGGGAGCCGGGTAACAGGGCCCTGGTGCACTGAACTCGTTAGGTTTGTCTACATCAGGCAGGCCATTCATCCGGTTTGAAATCGGACAGTCCTCTTCTTGGGTGGCTTGCCCCTCCAATGCATGCTTGTGTCTGATATTGGATGGGGGGCACCATTTGGCAGAGTGCACTGCTCCGCCCCTGCTGGCATGAACTCACACACACCGAGTGTGCGAGGTCACGCCAGCGGGGAGAGGCTCACGCCAATCCTGGAAATACCGGGATCTCCGATATTCTGGGAAATCCCTCAGCCGCCACCCTGGTCTACACTGCTGCAGGGGGCGAGTCTCCCAGGGCAGGTTAACAGACTTGCAGTAGGGGGACTTGTGCTGACCTGCTGAAAACAGCCATGTGGAGCAGCCCCCTGGGCTACAGACCTAGTGCCTTGGGCAGTGGCCCCTGTTGGTTGCAGTCTCTTGACTGCGCAGAGAGTGTTGATTGCACATTGCATGGAGCCGGAATGAGGGTGCTGGGCACCCACTGGCTTTAGTGCAGTCTGTGATTGGCTGTGGATGCCAGCCCGGGATGACAGTCATTAGCACCTTTCCGCCTAACCGTGCTGTGTGCTCTGAGTGAGGTGGCAGAATCGGGCCCAGTGTGGAAATACAGATTGACAACTCCCCTCCCAGCCATCTCGCTCAGGCACTGGCTGCAACGCAGACCCCCCGGCCCTTAGACTGCCCCTTGGCAGAGACCCCAGCATCTCGCCCTGCTCCTCCACGCCCAGACCAGCCACCCACTGCCCTGTATCCGTCAACACGGGGGGGAGGCATGGGAGGTGCGAGGGCTCCAGCCTCATGGGCTCCCCTTCCTGTCCCTGCTCTCTCGGTCACCTCCGCTGTTGTCCGCATGAGCCCCCATGGCCCCAGAGACACCCCGGCCCTGGGGAGGTCACAGGCAGCCCCGTGGGCAGTGGGGGGTGTTTCCTGTCCCTCTAACCAGCCATCTCCTGTCTGTTTGCTTTGCAGCTGCCCCTGGTGACCGTGCAGGTCAGTCTGTGCCTCTCCAGCCTCCTCCTCTTCCTGTCCGGCTCATCCGAGGGCACTCGGGGGTGTTCAGTTGTGGGGATCCCAGAGGAGTCTGGGCTGTGACCACAGTGTCCAGCAATCCAGCCCTAGACTCCCCTGCCCTGCTGGGGGGGTGCAAAGGGTCCCAGAGCACAGGGTGTTTCTGGCCTGGGACACATGGGGGGCAGGGAGGGGACATTTGTGCCATCAGGTTACGTTCTCCCCACCCCGAGTTTGCAGTGTCTGGGGCTGTCTGTCCGGAAGGCAGGTGGGTTTGGGCCTGGCTGGGATCCCTGCCTGAGTCGCTCACCCCGAATGTTCCCAGCCCCTAAACTCTTGGTCAGGCGGTGACTTGATACGGCCAGTGGGGAACTCAGTGGGGAGCTCCTTTGGGAGTCTTATGGGGGAAGGGCTGGGGGGAGGGGGATCTCTGGGAGCGGCAGGGCAGAGGGGAGGGTGGGGGTTGGGGAGGCTGCGTGGAGGGTGGGGGACAGGGAACATACCCACAGAGGCCTAGCTTTGAGATGGAAATGGTCCCTGTCAAGGCTGGAACCCCACTTTGAACTTTAGGGTACAAATGTAAGGGCCTGCATGAAACTTCTAAGCTTAACTACCAGCTTAGCTCTGGTTCCACTGCCACCATTTCAATTTTCCCT